AAATCCGGATGTGTGGGCATGTGTATCTACTTTTGTAGTTGCATATGTGCATTCATTTCGGGCCTGATGAAGTCAACCAGCAGAAATACGTATCGCTCGGGTTACCTATCCTATTTCTGCTCGAATCCACTTTTTGCGGATTTTGCCCATTATTTTCCTATTTTTGTTATATACCTTTCTCCGCATGATAATTTTCTCTTTGTAGATCCTTTGGGCTTGAAGTACCACAGCAAGTGGCTATAACCGGCCGCGTGGTTGTGGTTATTTGTCGCCTTGAAAATTCGGGGTCTGCTAGCCATTTTATACTACAATGTGTAGGTTGGCTCTTGTTGTGGACTTCGTGTGTCTTTTTTTCCTTTCCATCTTCGTTTCCTCAGGTTACACCCGTATCCGGATGTGTGGGCATGTGTATCTACTTTTGTAGTTGCATATGTACATTCATTTTGGGCCTGATGAAGCCAACCAGCAGAAATACGTATCGCTCGGGTCACCTATCCTATTTCTGCTCGAATCCACTTTTTGCGGATTTTGCCCATTATTTTCGTATTTCTGTTATATATATATATATATATATATATATATATATATATATATATATATATATATATATATATATATATAACGACAACAATTTCTGGCGCTTAAGGATTTCCCCTACGACTTAAATACGGTAGACATTTTCTTTGCAATCCTGGAGAGACTACAAATGAGTAACTTTTGAAACTGACTCTAAGGCTGTTATTTGAAACATCAAAGGAATCAGATGTACCAAAGCGAAGCTTCCAAATCATGTAACTCCTGAAGCTTATTCTGTGGTTTTTTTGTTCATAGGACTCCACACGTGGATTTATTCTGCCAGGCAATGGAGTCCTATGGCGTTTTCAGATGTTTTATCAGAATGGTTTAATAATAATTATATGCGGGCCTCGCTCGTAAATAAAACACTTGTAGTTTCCCCGAATGGGTCGAATTCCACACGTAATCCAAGCTAAATAAGAGCGACAATGTTGCAACCCTGCTCCCGCGGCGCCGGTACAACCATTCTTCGTTTGTGTGTCGAATAAACTCACACATACGCGTAAACAAAGTAGTTTAGTGACCAGTAAAATGCCCAAGCAGAAGAAACGCCACCGTAGCAGGAGCAATAGTAGCGATAGAAGTCGGTAGCAATGTTGCCAGGTTAAAAAACTGAAGTTGCCAGGTTTCGCATATTTAGTCAAGATACATACAATAACAGAAATAAAAAATGTTTTACATAGGTTTTGGATTTATTACAAAAAAAAAATAAAGTCCTGGATATTAAAGTATATAGGGTATATAATACATATCAAAATTTCTTTATACATGCTATTATTGGGCCGATTAATGATATCTTCAGTTACAGAAAAGTTAAAACAGCTGTTATTATTTAGAGAAATTAATCTTTTACTGTGTAAGATTCCACTCATTGTTTTGGAGCCTAATTTGTTTCGTATTTTTGTTTTATTCAAATTGATTTCAACAAATAATCTTTCCAAACTTGCGCTACTGTGGGGTAATGTAAATAAAACGTTTACAAAGTTTGCAAGCTCTGGAAAAATAAGACTATTATCACCCCTTTTCTCATTACACACTTCGTTCCAAAATTCAGTCTCATCTAAAGAAAAATCAAAATTTGAAAATTTTAAATGCCTAAATTCTCTGTCTAGAGTATTAATATCGTTAACAGGATTTCGAGACCAAAAGGTTAAAGGTGCTATACTTTCCGTTGTTTTGATATTTGGAGGACTCAATATAGTCAGTAACTGAAGAATTTTTGTTTCACGAGAATTGAAAGGAAATCGTTTGTGTAGCTGATCAACTGCCTCAATGTAAAAATTCAGACATTTTGTTTTAATATTATTTCTAACGGTTTCTTTTAATGCATGTTTAGTCAGTTCTGCAGCTGCTTTGGGACCCAAATCAATTGAAAGAAAATTTTCTGGATTATGATATTGAATCTATTCTAAATCTTTATTAAGTTTTAGGAAACAACTTAAAAAAATTTACAGGCGCTCAACATTTGGGGGTAAATGTTACTAATTTTTGGTTTTTCTGACTGGAATTCTAAGTTTAAATTCGTAAAAGTTGGTAATATATATTCAAGAAAGAGAAGGTATATTTTACTTAATGGATTGTTTAAGCATACTATTGATTTCGTCTGCTCCTGATACATTATCGAATACTTCGACTCTAAAGTAATGCTGAAGAGCCTCATACTGTTCAAGGATTCTAGAAACAGCGGAAATCAATGACAGCCATCTTGTTTGTGAAGCATGCAACAGCTTATGAGGTTTAATATTAAAAAATGGTTGAAATTTACGCAATTCTGATTGTCCTTTATAACTGCGATGCATATATGAATAAATACTTCTAACTAGCTTCTCTGGGGCATCTGGCAATTTTTCACATAATGCTAAAGAATGACAAATACATTTCATGGTATAAAGATCATTGATGTCATTATCTAAAAGTGTTTTTAGTGAATTATGCGCCCCCATCATTGTATTTGTCCCATCGGCGGCAAATCCGACTAAATTAGTTTTAAAAGGAATATTATTATCTACAAAAAAATTTACTATAACATTATATAGATTTTGTGCAGTGGCTGTCTCGACTAATACGAGTCCAAGAAATTCATCTTTTATCTCTCTAAATTATTATTGTATCGAACTACTAGGGCTAAATGCTTTTCTAAGGAAATATCTATCGATTCATCAACCATCAAAGAAAATTTTTTAACTTTTAACTCTGAAATAAGGTGTTCAAAGCTTGCCTTTCCTATAACATTATTAATAATTGCTGTACATTTTGTTCTGTCACAAGACATTTTTGAAACTTGGCTAGGCTCCATACCAATAAACAAATAGATTTGACAAGTTCAGTCAAATGATCAGAAACGTTAATAGCAATATTATGCTCCGCAATAAATGATGCAATTTTAATCTCATTTTGTTTATTTTATCAGACGGAATAGAAAATACTTTTTTTGACAAAATTGATTGGTTACACATTGCGTTCATTTTGTCGATATGTTTTTTTGATAGACTATGTTTTTTGACAGCAGCTACACCACCTATATAGTCTTTATTGCATATTTTATAATTAAAATGATGAATAACATGAGAGCTCGGCTTCATGTTTCTCCCATAATTATGATCGTATAACTTAATTTTCTTTAATAAAGTTGAATACTTATCTGAATTTCCATCGTCAAGCACAGAATCAGAAGCTGAGTCAGAGTCATGTGCTTCATCTTGTTCTTTTCATCAACGTTGCTAGTGCTTGCTTGTGGTGAATGTGGACATGGACAAGTAACAGGTTCTTGTTTTTTCCTGATTACAAATTTGTCCATATTTCGCAGTTACTCTAAAGTGAAAAATAAAAATGTTCAAAAATAATTTTGCAGAAATGAGCTTGAAAATATAATCGTGTCATACGTGAGGTTTAAATGTTTTTGAACTCAAATATGCGAGTAATCTTTTCATATCTAGCAAAATTTCTTGATAAAGACACACGGTTAAAAATATTTTAAATACCTACCTTTAAGTTGATCAGAATCAACTGCAATAAAAATAACCCTACAGAGGCGCAAGTGAAAACAACAAAAACACTACTGTAAATTCTGCCCAGATAAAATGCCGGCGGCGCCCACGGAACCTTCTTAAGTAAACCGATTACGGGACTTCCCCGCGGAGCACGCGTTTTGCGGGTATTCCCCGGCATTAGCAGTGGAGTTTTTGAAAAGTATAACACTACAGTCACGTATCTTTATATAATTATATACTTCATGTACATTGACAAACAGTAGATTTCTTTTGAATAAAAATTTAGATTTATAAATAGGCCAGTCCTAAAAATTACCGGAAATGGGACTTTTCAAAAAAGTTTTCACCATACCACCAGATTGGTCTACAAATCACCAGATCTGTTGATTTTTCACCAGACCTGGCAGCATTGGTCGGGAGGAACGACGGAAAAGGCAATTAGCAGCGTTGACGGCCTCGCCGCCACGGCAACCACCCGTCCCAGGCACAGACGCATGCAGCATTGCCAGCTCTTCCGATCTTTCGGAGATCTGCGAAAACATTCCAGGTAAGCAACTCAAAAGCGCATTGGCAGGGAGTCACATTCTTACATAGCTTATACCAAAATGCTTCAATGAACCTATTATGAACAATAATTGAATATTTGACTCACGAACATGTGTTAGGAGGCCAATCCACAACTGATACCAGACTGTTATAAGAGTTATAATAGTATTGCACATCACGAGCTTATGACAGCTCACTACAATACTTATGACAGTATGGTAGATCACAAGCATATGAAACTCTGATAAAATACTTATGACGGTATTGGTTATTACAGACAGCGTGCCGCAATGCTATGACAGCATTACGGATTATGAGCTCACGACAGCTCCCTACAATGCTTAGGACAATATTCTCCATCACGAGCTTGCTGCAATACGTAGATAATATTGAATTTATGAGATTATGCATCTCGCTATCGCCCTACTCCGCACCCGTTCCTGACCGCTCGCCACAATGCTTATGGTAATATTGCACAATATGAACTTATGTTAGCTCATTACAATGCCTATGACAGTGATCCCTATCACAAATTATACACCGCGCTCCGATATTCATGAAAGCATTGCATATCTTGGGCTTATGAAAGCTCGCTATGATACCTGAAGCAGTTTGGTACGTCACGAACTTGTGACAGCTCGCTACTACATCTACATTGGCATTGACATTTGGAATTGAATGCATCGCACAGAAACCATCGCTCGTCGCGAACTAGTAGCCCTTAACCTGAACTCTGATGCAAAACAGATCCTATCGGAAGCCACAGTTGATGGGCTGCTCTTTGGGACAGACTTAGAAGCCAGACTAAAATCTTCCAAAGACCTAGAGAAATCGGGCAGGGAGCTGAAGGCAGTTAAGGCTAAGCCGCAACAAAATGCTGCCAAACCGTTAAACTACCAGAGTCTGCCTCGGTATCAGTAGGGGGCACGTCGAGGCAGACACCAACACCAGAGCCCCAGTTACTCCACGAACCGCTACAAACCACGTCGAGAGCCACCACGTCGACTGAACCAGAGGAGTCAGAACAGCTACAAACTCAAAACCAGGAACCAAGACATTAGATAAGGTAAGCATAGCTGGAAGATCAGCTTACTTTTATCACGAGTGGCAAAAGTTCACGAATGACAGAATGATCTTGTCATGGATTAAAGGGGTGAATTACCTCTATCGCAGAAGCCAGTCCAACGATGCCTTCCAAAAGAGCCTAAATGGTCTTTCAAGGAAGAAGCCACCATTAAAATAGCGCTTAAAGAATTGAACCGCATAGGGGCAATCAGCACGGCCAAACCGTCAAATAGGCAATACATCTCAAATAGGTATATTTCTCTGAAAAAAGCAGGATGGTTCAGATAGGATAATTTTAAACCTGAAACCCTTGAACAACTTCATTCAAGTTAAACATTTCAAGTTAGAGGACCCAAAACGGTTGCGAAAATAATGTCACAAAATTGTTTCATGGCCAAATTAGATCTTAAAGATGCATACCTCCTGGTACCAATACATCGTTCATATAGGAAATTTCTCAGATTTAGATTTAAACGTAAGCTTTATGAAAATAATGCAATGCCTTTTGGCTTAAATTGTGCTCCTCTAATATTTACCAAACTAATGAAGCCCATATTGGCATACCTCAGAGGCAAGGGCCATATAGGAAATTTCACAGGCGAAATATTTGGCTCTCAGGAAAGCAACCAATAACTATGAGGCCAAAATGGAAATTGATGCTTAGCTGTTACCAGACTTTCAATTGTGGTTACAGAAATTGCCGTTCGCGAAAAATGCCATTCGCGCGGAAAACTACGACATTGAGATTTTCTCAGATTCATCCCTTACACTCTGGGGTGCATTTGCCAATAATGAGAGTAGATCTGGGTTTTGGAACAGTACAGAACGCGAACACCATATCAACTATCTTGAGTTATTAGCCTCTTTCCATGCTATAAAATCCTTTGCCGGAAAAATGACCAACTGGAACATACTTTTGCGTCTGGACAACACCACAGCACTGGCATACATAAATAAAATGGGCAGTGTACAATACCCAAAATTGAGTGCACTGGCCCAAGAGATTTGGAAGTGGTGTGAGGACAGAAATTTGTTCTTTACGCAACCTATATCCCTTCAGCGGAAAATAAGGAAGCGGATTCCGCATCGCGAATACGCCAGACAGAAACCGAGTGGTCACTCAGCCATACGGCTTTCGAAAAAATAACTTTACGGTATGGGATACCTGACATACACCTGTTTGCGTCACAGGATAACGCGAAATGGCATGGCCTATACCTTTATGCCTTCCCGCCTTTTTCATTGGCCCTTCGCGCGCTACGGAAGATTATTCGAGATAAAGCAGAAGGAATATTGGTTGTACCACCTTGGAAGGCTCAACCGTGGTACCCAATATTCTCCTCGATGCTCACAGAAGAACCATTAATTTTAAAACCATCTGACAATCTTCTCTCCCTGAATAATAGGTCACACCCTCTTTGGCCCAACATTTCCCTGGTGGCAGGGCGCTTATCCTACAAGGCCTTAAACAGGGCAACGTCCCAGATGGATCGTTAGAAATTTGCCTAGCCGCAGTCACGGTATTAAAGCAATACAACTGTGGCACCAGGAGCTGGTGGGAGTTCTGCCAGGCAAGGAACATTGACTTATTCAAACCTACTCTAAGCGCACTAATGGATTTCTTTGCAAGCGTATTTGGAAAAGGAGCCTCATACGGTACTCTGAACTCTTATCGAGCTGCGATAGGCCGTATCATTGGAGGAGAACTTACACAAGATCCTCAAGTGAAAAAATGTTTCAGAGGTGCGTATAATATACGTCCCAACCCTCCGAAGTATGAGGACACATGGGATCCGGAATTGGTTCTCAACCTTGCTCGTAAACTCCCTAATGACGGTATCACTCTTGAGCAGCTGACATGGAAATTAGCTGTACTCTTGGCTATCTGCACTGGACAGAGGGTCCAGACTCTCCATAATATCGAAGTACAAAACGTTACCGTAGATGATAAGATAGAGATAAAAATACCTGAGAGGCTCAAGTCCTCTGGCAGAAACGTGCCACAATCTACACTAATCCTACCGTTTTTCCATTCCGTAAAAGATATTTGTCCTGCAACAGCTGTACAGATATATTTGGAAAAAACAAAACCCATTAGGGGCACCACAGAGAAATTATTTATCACAACTAAGCCACCGTTTCGTAGCGCCTCCACGCAGACCATAAGTAGATGGATCAAAGCAATGCTGAGGGCAAGTGGGATTGATACAGATAAGGATAGCTCATATACTACCAGTCATGCCTCTAGCTCAGCCGCAGCGCGCAGGGGTTTTAACTATGATACAATCCGCAAAGCAGCGTGTTGAAGGGAAAGATCAATGGTTTTTGCAGGGTTCTACCAGAGGCCTTTAACTTCAACCGAGATATTCGCTGAGGCAGTGTTGTCCACCTAGCATTAAGCTATGGAAATATGTTCTAATAAAGGTTTAATATCAGTTTAGTTGTTGCACTCGCTTTAAACAACTACATGTGTTTTATTTACGAGCGAGGCCCGCATATAATCGTTAGATTAAACGAACGTACCTTAAGTGAAGTTCTATCTTAATTATATGCGGGCCTCGTGAAGTAAATAACGCCCACCCAAAACCCATTAAACCCTAGAAAGTGCAACAACGTGGGGCTTTGAAGAAAAATGACTGTACCGGCGACGCGGGAGCAGGGTTGCAACATTGTCGCTCTTTTTTAGCTTGGATAACGTGTGGAATTCCACCCATTCGGGGAAACTACAAGTGTTTTATTTACTTCACGAGACCCGCATATAGTTAAGATAGAACTTCACTTAAGGTAAGTTCGTTTAATCTAACAATTATATGATCCATCAAAAAGCATGACTTTGAAGATTGCATTATCTAAGTAGATACAGATCTGTTAGCGGAAGGAGATACTTCAGAAAACATTATCACGATACCTTTTGGTAAAAAAACATCTTGATGCTCCACTGGATTGATAAGATGCCATTTTCCACCATATCCAACAAGTAAACGATGACTAAATAATATGATTTCAATGACCACAATGAGCTCTGGATGGGCTCAAACAAGCCTGATGCAGCAGGTCGTGCATGTGAATCGTTCGCTACTACCCAAGGACTGAGCTAACTGGTGACGAGCCCTATTTTTTTCCCCGCTTATCACCTCCCCCAGTCTTTTTCTGACCACGCATCCTGTCCCTTACAGCACTGCTGTGCCCTCTTCCCTGGGTAACTTGACCACGGTGTTGTGGAGATTCCCGCACGGGTATCATGTAAAAAAATATAATACGTCAAAAAAAACCTATAAGATGTCATCTTGCAGACTAGGTAGTTTTTATGGCGCAAACAGTCATTCCACGTTTGCTCACTAAGATCGTTATGAACGTCAAGCTATGGAGGAATCACTCAACTAAACTACACGCATTATTGGTTGCTTTTGTTTTGTGAGGCCGAGTGGTCTGTCTGTAGTTTTCATCCCTGAGAAGAAAATTTCTTGAATAGCAAAATCGCATCTGGATGATTATGCGTATTGGTCTGCATGTGTATCAAATCAATGATATTTGTGTAAGAAAATCATTACTGAATATGCTCCAATGAAGTATATCTATTAGCTGTGCCCAACGGGTTATTTATATGTTGTGCTTTCTGACGAGAGGTTATGTTCAAATTTATAAATTACGAAAAAGTGAGGAGAATTACGGGAAATCATCACCGCGCCCGCGTTGTGTGTAATTACTGTTAGCATGTATATGGCTTGTAATTCGACAGTGTACAGTGAATATAATTATTTCTTATCTCTCTCATTTTTGAAATTCAGCAAATTTGTATATGTCATTTCCAGAACGGATAAGAAAAAGTGGCTGCGCAATTAATTTTTAGCTTTGAATTTCAATTAAGTGTATTTAAGACAAGAATCCAATTCAAATATCATCAACATATACGTATACAACTTACAGCTTAGACCTCCAGTAATGCCATCTCTGAAGCAGATTTTACATCAGATCAGAGCCAAACATTGATAACTGAAGACTCATGACGTTTAGGCAACATGTACAACTAAGTGCTCAGTTAACATCTTGTAGAAAAACCTACATAATGTCAAAAAGAAACAGTATAATGTCAAAAAAAATCGACTTTTCAAGATACATGATACCTGTGGCGACGCCCGAGTGCCGTCGATTCAAAGCGTTCCTTCTACTGTGTGGGAAGTAACTTTCAGACATGAGACCGTAAGACGGATGCTCTTGTATCTCGATATCTTATCCGGGCATGATTCCTGCCGTTGTATTGAAGAGGAGCTTGCTCCAGTCCTTTCGTGTCTCTTCTAGATACTTTACGAATCCGGCACCTCCTCAGAATACTGGAAATTTGCTTATGTTCAAACCATCTAAAAAAAGGGATCGAAGACCGACCCTTACATCTGCAGGCTTATACCTCTGATTACTGTTATAAGTAAGGTGAGCGAGAGGGGCATAAATTGCAAGCTTCTGGAGTACGACGAACGTCACGGCTTTATTAGCAACAAGCAGTATAACTTCCCACATCAGCATTCGACAGGGTACCTCCTAGATTGCGTCACGCAATTGTGGAGTAAACTCGTCCAGCCTTATGGTGAGGCCCATGTCGTTGCTCTTGATATCACGAAAGCTTTGGGTCTCTGACCGCAAGATGTACATCGTAATTCACGCGTTATCCTGTTCATTCCTCAATGTCAGCGGAAATGTTCCGCAGCTTTGCTGATGACAACAATCTACATGTAGGATTTCAGAGTGCCAAGCCGATTTCTGCCAGTGAGATGGAGAGAAGCCTTGTCATCCTCTCTCTCTCTCTATATATATATATATATATATATATATATAACTTGAGTCGTAATTGTTGTCGTCTAACAACCAATTAGGTGAAAAAATAAAACTTCCGCTTTTACCATGGATCCAGCTTTCACCATGTTACTAAATGTTTCCTTCAACTTAACCTTTAATAACATTTAGCAACAATCTCACATACTATTGTAAGTAATTTAAAATCATTTTGCACAATAGTTGTTATTTCTTCCTAATGTTATTGTAGCTGCTGAAGATGATGGCATATTCCGTCGAAAGCTAGAGACAAATAAAGAATGAAGTTTAGGGAGTCCTCGTCGCTTTATTCTTGTCGAAGTACCCAACTAATGGCGGAAGCTTTATTTCTTCATCTACAAACTGAGGACTATCTGTTTTTTACGTTTTCTCAATAACTAGGGGTTGGGGAATACGATACTTTGTCGCGGTCCTCACTTTGAATGTAAATCTTACATGGGGGTCCTCACATTGTATTTTGTTCTCAATAAAATATATTATTCAACAGTACTAGTTGCAGTAGTAAAAAAGATATGAGTATGTGATGCAGAACTAAGATGTTCCACTAGAAAACTGTTGTGCTCAATTATCTAGATTTCTGACATGCTGTTAATTAAATCAGATATTTTAATAAGAATATTCATAGGACCAGAAGCTGCATTCAAATACAAAGGTTATTTTTAATGTTGGTTAATACAAGAAAACAATGCACACTTATGTAAGTGATATCAAACTTAAAGATGTACTGTCAACAATAACAACTTGATGTCTTTTGAGGATTTTCCTATACTTTATAAAATAATGTATTACTTGGTGTCATCAAAATACATACATATATATTTATATAAAGATGTTGATTCAACGACAACAATTTCTCGCGCTCAAGGATTTTCCCTACGACTTAAATACGGCAAATACTTTCTTTGCAATCCTCGAGAGACAACAAATGAGTAACTTTTGAATCTGACTCAAAGGTTGTTATTTGAAACATCCAAGAAATGAGCTGTATCAAAAAGAAGCTTTCAGATCATGTAACCCCTGAAGCTTATCCTGTGGTTTTCACGTTCGTAGGACTGCACACGTGGATCTATTCTACCAGACAATGGAGTCCTATGGCGTTTTCAGATGTTTTATCAGAATGATATAATAATAATTATATGATTCATCAAAAAGCATGACATTGAAGATTGCATTATCTAAGTAGATACAGATGTTAGCGGAAGGAGATACTTCAGAAAACATTAACACGATACATTTTGGTAAAAAACATCTTGATGCTCCACCGGATTGATAAGATGCCGTTTTCCACCATGAGCAAGTAAAGGATCACAAAATATGATTTCAGTGACCATTCTGAGCTCTGGCTGCGCTCAAATAAGACCGATGCAGCAGGTCCTGCATTTGAATCTTTCGCTATTACCCAAGGGCTGACCTAACCGGTAACGAGCCCTACTTTTTTCCCCACATTTCAACACGCGCCAGTGGCCTGCTGGATCTTTTTCTGGCGACGCATCCTGTCCCTTACAGCACTGCTATGCTATCTTCCCTGGGTTTGTAGTTTTTTTTTATGCAAATGAACTTTTTAATAAAAAGCTTTTAAGAAGTACAAAATGAATCTGTAGCGTACAAAAAAACAAAACAAAATATGGCTCTGTCTACCTGGATTGACGGATCCGTCAGAACTATGTGTCCTTTGACGATATGAGGAATTTTGAAATATTACTATAACCAGCTGTCATTCTACCGTGACGAATAGTAGTGAAACAGGGTATATGTATGTTGACAAAAATAATCATATTACACGGGATAGAGTCCAAACGCCTTGACGAATTTTGACATACGAGATGTCTCTAGGTTTACCCGTCGGACACAGAAAGAGGGATATGTTTTTCACGCGTGTTGTATGTATGTATCCGAAAAAATCTATTTCTCGGGTTACAGGCTACATGGTTTGATGGCTTTTGACATATAAGGAGTCATTGGATTCGTCTTAGCAGTGCGAGTGACACTGGCTTAGTAAATACCTTATAATATAAAATAGCGGATCTGAATAAAAAATTTTAACTCAAAATTCCTATTTCACGGGCTACAACTTAAACTACTTAATGGATCTTGGAATATTGGGTGTCTAAATTTGTCTTGACAGTGCGAGTGACACACGGTATACCAAAAATATCAATCATAACAACAAAATTCCGGATTTTAATAAAAGAATTCAATCTTGAAATTCATATTTCATACGACTTGATGGATTTTGACGTATGTGGTGTCCCTAGATTTTTATTGACAGCACAATTAAATCTTCATTCTATGCATTTGCAAGCAAACGATCGCAAAGCCTTGTCATTTTTGAGAATTGCCACTGTGGTACAAAGTACAAAATGGTGTCAAGTGTGCAGCGTCGCTAAGAATTATCGAACAGACACACAGAGCGGCAGACATACGGATAGATTGACGTAAATGGATGACTTCTTTTTTCGTCTTCTACATGTCATGTAACATCGAAAAAACGTGATATCTTATTGTCGAAATTCACAATCACAATACTTCCTTGCCTATTGGCGTGCGAAGTAAAAGAAGTGCACGTTTCTAGCTGAAGTCTTTTGAGTAACCTAGGGCTGAGTTGTGTTTTTTTTAATTATTTGCTGTTTTGTTTTGTTTGCTTAACGCAAAGCTGTTCTTACATCAGTAGGCTTATTCTGAAACATCCAGTATTGTGTTTTAGCCTATTCGGGGGTTCCACTAATTGGCCACGGCTAAACTTATTTTGTATACACATTTCATACAGTTTCAACTCAAATCCTTATCTTTCTTCAACTTTTGAGAAGGCCTTGAAAAGTGAAATAAGGACCTTGATTATCAAAATTTGCTATTAACAAAAACTTAGCTGTATGTCTTGGGAGTGGGAAAAATGTTACATGATTTCGTTTCAGCACATGCAAAGCTACTTCGCATATGAAATTAAAGAGGTGAATCTACTCTCAACTGCACCTCCTTCGTTTTTCATATGCTTGAAAGGATGGCCTTTTTGCTTTTAGAAAAAATTACGCAATAGCTTCGTCATATTCATTTTCTTTTCCAATACCTTCTTACATTCTCGATGCGTTCATCTTACGAAGTTTTCTCAAGCGGTTCAGTATGCAGTTCAAAGAAGCTGACAGCAAAATAAGTCCTTGCTGCTGCACATTTGGTGTCACGTTGACCGTGGCCCACTAGATTAACAAATGTGTATACGGCATACTATGTCTATTTAGACATAACGTGTATATTGTATGGGGGTTTGAAACCAGTTTGAACACCAACAGTTTGGTATGCATTGAGTTAAATATCCGAAATCATGAAAATGGAGCACCAGAATTTGATGTATATCTCGAAATATGAAGAATAAATACAGGATGTCACATTGCATCTATATATATATACAGGGTGGCTCATCCATGTGTGGACGGAATATTACTCATAAACAAATACATTTTGGGATAATCTATTCATGGGATGTTATACATGACATTTGAGGAATCATTTCTAAAATATTGGCCATAATACAGTGTATCTCAATTTCGACGTACATATCAAAGTTGTGATTTTTCAAATCGAATGCCTCAAACTTTAATTAACATGCTATGGGGTTTTGGTAATTAGCTACTGAGATATAAGGTATTTTGTCTAGAAAAAACCCTCACTTCGGCAACCCCTCAGTCCGTAATTTTGAAATTTGGAGTGCTGAATTTTGTATCAAAAAGAACTTACACACCTCAGCTTTTACTTACTTTCCTTTTTCGAACTTTTTGCTCATGCAGGGTGGACAAAAACGCAAATTGTAGTTTTTCTCAAACATTTCAAATGCAGCACCCTGTATGTTTGTGTAAGTTTGAATTCAATTGTTTCAGGTTTTTTTTTAAACTAGACACATAAGGGATTTTACTGCTATTCTTTCGGTTATTAGCACGTCTTTTATGGAACGGCTTAATTCCCTAAAATATCGCATCATCCTCTCAAACTGTCAAAATTAGCTTTGTGAGCATTACAATAAAAACGTTTTTGAAAATGAATTTCTCTAAAGAAGAAATGGTGAATATGGTGTTCGTTTTGGGCGAAACTCAAAGAAATGGTTTCCTAGCATCTCGCATTTATAAGCAACGGTACCCTAATGTGCGACATCCAAGGCCGGAAACACTTTCCACACCACGGGAACGTTTTGAATCAAGTGGAGCAGTGGAATATAGTAAAACATGTATAGGATCCAAATGTCACCAATGAGGTGAATCAATTGGAGGTTCTATTAAAGTTGCAGAAAATCCCCATTTAAGTGCACGGCAAATTGGAGCAGAAACTGATATATGCACAACGTCCGTTTCAGAGTGCCAAGCCGATTTCTGCCAGTGAGATGGAGAGAAGCCTTGTCATCGCCTTCGGCCAAAACTATAGCTTCGCCCACATTAAGTAAGCTTGCAATTCAAGATGGTTTGGATATGAGCAAATTTCCAGTATTCTTGGGAGGTGCCGGATTCTTACGACATCTAGAAGATACCCGAAAGAACTCGAGCAATAATCATGTCCGTACAAGAAGCTTTGTTGATGTCGAGCTACAAGAGCATACGTTTTACGGTCTTATGTCTGAGTGTTACTTTCCGCACAGTAGAAGGAACTCTTTGAATCGACGGCACTCGAGCGTCGGGAATCTCCACAACACCGTGGTCTGAGTTACCCAGGGAAGACAGCACAGTTGTGCTGAAAGGGACAGGATGCGTGGTCAGAAAAAGATTCAGCAGGACACTGGCGTGTGGTGATAAGCGGAGAAAAAATTAGGGCTCGTCACCAATTAGCTCAGTCCTTGGGTGAAATTGCTTATTTGATCAACCGGCGTCGTCTGTACTTCCCTTAACATCTTGATTCAATTAGAATAACTTTTGATTGTTCCTGATAGGAAAACGAAGAACTCACGAGCCAGTTGGGCATTGCCATAGCTTTATAGTTCGATCATTATATTTGAAAATACGTGGCGGTCGAATTGAAACTTCATTTCTGAATGACTCCATTATTGTAACCGTTACAAAAAGTCCAAACATTTTACACCTGACTGCCTCAGGGGAAGTATTATTACTTGACTTTTTCACAAGGGGGGTTATGTTTTTCGCGTATGTGTATCTATGTATGTTGGCAAAAATAATCCTATTTCACGGGATAGAGTCCAAGCGCCTTGACTAATTTTGACATACGAGATGTCTCTAGGTTTATTCGACTGGCGCAGGCAGAGGATTACGTTTTTCACGAGTAGGTATGCATGCATATTTCACGGAATACAGGTCAATTCGTCTTAGCAGTGCGAGCGAAACTGGCTTAATAAATATTTTATCAGACAAAGTACCGGAATTTAATAAAAAAACCTTGATTTTCAAATATTTGGTGTCTAGATTTCTCACGGCAGCGCGAGTGAAATTTAACCTTGAAGGCTGTCTACAAAACATCATTCAGCTACAATGCTATTAAATTATACAATGATCTGCCTGTTACATTCCAAAACTATACGTTATTTAATTTTAAAAAGAGGCTTAAACTAAAACTACAAGTCGAGGTCTGATGATGAGTACAAAATGCTAGAAATATGGACTATTCTTGTAATTGTTCTGTGTTGTTAATTATTTAGTAATTATTGAGAATTATGGATACATTTTTGTTGGTAGAATGTTTTATTATATATATATATATATATATATATATATATATATATATATTTTGTTAAGGTTAAGGTTAAGTTGAAAAACGCTAATTTTAGCGACACTTCGCCTTTTTTGTACTTTTACTTAGGTACGAAATAAAGCCCATTTATTATTATTATTATTATTAATTTCATATTTCACGGGCTACACCTTAAATGACTTGACAGATTTTGACATATGAGGTGTCTCTAGATTTTTCTTGACAGCAAAATTAAATCTCTGTTCTTTTCAGTTACTACTGTCCAGTTATTTATCCCTTAGATTAGATTTTAGATTACGAAACACAGACTAAGATTAAGATCTTTGCGCAAGAAGATACGAGAATGACTAGATTTTACCATTTGACATAATATATTTTGTATATAATTTGGAGCTCAACCCCAAGGATGTTTCAAACTCCACAATATATAATAACCTACCGTAATATGATGTAAATATTGATTAGGTAATTATAAATAGTCCATTACAGTGTCTCATTTTTTATATGTTCTTCAAACTACTATTTATCGATATTTCTGCTGTCCAAAGCGTACTTATGATATGTGTAATTATAGAAAACATGGATGTACTAAGGCCAGACTGCTTGTATGATTTTTTATTGAAGTCGCGTTTAGGATTACGTCAAAATATTGCCGATGAACTCATACAAAATCGACTGGAGCTAGTCTTTTAAAGGCTCCTGTAAGAAAAGGCGAAGGCAGCGTGTTATTATCACCAGTTATAAAACTTGGATGTTTTTCTTACAACTAGAACTGAATTTTTTTTCGTGAGTATTCCAATATGACGCGATCACTAAAAGTTGCAAGCAAACGATCGCAAGGCCTTGTCATTTTTGAGAATTGCCTCTGTGGTACCAAGTACCAAGTGTGCAGCGTGGCTATGGATTATCGGACAGACACACCGAGCGGCAGATACACGGATAGATTGACGGAAATGGGTTTTTTCGTCTTGTACATGTCATGTAACATCGAAAAAACGTGATATCTTATTGTCGAAATTCCTTGCCTATTGGCGAGGGAAGTGAAAGGAGTGTACGCTTCTAGGTGGAGTTTTTTGAGTAATCGAGGGCTGAATTGTGTGCTTTATTTAATTATTTGCTGTTTTGTTTTGTTTGCTTAACGGAAAACTGTTTTTACATCAGTAGGCTTATTCTGAAACATCCAGTATTGTGCTTTAGCCTATTCGGGGGTTGCACAAATTGGCCACGGCTGAACTTATTTTGTATACACATTTCATACAGTTTCAACTTAAATCCTTATCTTTCTTCAAATTTTGAGAAGGCCATGAAAAATGAAATAAGAACCTCGATTATTAAAATTTGCTATTAACAAAAACTTAGTTGTACGTCTTGGGAGTGGGAAAAATGTTACGAGAATTCGTTTCAGCACATGCAAAGCTAATTCGCATACGAAAGTAAAGAGGTGAATCTACTCACGACTGCACCTCCTTCGTGTTTCATATGCTTGAGTGGATCGGCTTTTTGCTTTTGGAAAAAATTACGCGATAGCTCATCTTCTCTTCCGATACCTTCTTACATTCCTCGTTGCATTCATCTTCCAAAATTTTGTTAATTTTCTCAAGTGGTTCAGTATGCAGTTCAAAGAAGCTGACAGCAAAATAAGTCCTTGCTGTTGCCCATTTGGTGTCACGTTGACCGTGGCCCAGTAGATTGACAAATATGTACACGCATACTATGTCTATTTAGAAATAACATGCATATTGTATGGGGATTTGAGCCCAGTTTGAACATCAAAACTTTGGTATGCATTGAGTTAAATGTCCGAAATCATGAAAATGGAGCACCAGAATTTGTGATGTACCTCTCGAAATATGAAGAATAAATACAGGATGCCTCACTGACGGAATATTACTCATAAACAAATACATTTTGGGATAATCTACTCATGGGATGTTATACATGACATTTAAGGACCCATTTCTAAAATACCACCCATTATACAGTGGGTCCCAATTTCCACCTACATATCAAAGTTGTGATTTTTTAAAGCGAATGCCTCAAATTTCAATTAACATACTATGGGGTTTTGGTAATTAGCTACAGAGATAGAAGGTGTTTTGTCTAGAAAAACTCCTCACTTCGGCATCCCCTAAGTCCCCCTTTTTGAAATTTGGAGTGCCGAATTTTGTATCAAAAGGAACTTACATACCTTAGCTTTTACTTACTTTACTTTTTCGAATTTTAAAATTTGCTCATGCAGGGTGGTCAAAAACGCAAATTGTAGTTTTTCTTATAAATTTCAAATGCATCACCCTGTATATTTGTGCAAGTTCGAATTCAATTATTGATAAGCTATTTTTTGTTTTTTTACGGCTATTTTTTCGGTCATTAGCACGTCTTTTATGGAAGGGCTTAATTCCCTAAAATATTTCATCATCCTTGGAAACAAATAAATTGTTGATTATTTACAAACTGTCAAAATTAGCTTTGTGCGCATGATAATAAAAACGCGTTTGAAAATGAATTTTTCTAAGGAACAAATCGTGAATATGGTGGTCGTTTTGGGCGAACCCCAAAGAAATGGTTTCCTAGCATCTCGCATTTATAAGCATCGGTACTCTAATGTGCGACATCCAAGGCCGGAAATACTTCCCTCACTACGAGAAGGTTTTGAACCAAGTGGAGCAGTGGAATATAGTAAAACATGTATATAATCCAAGTGTCACCAATGAGGCGAATCAGTTGGAGGCTCTATTAAAGTTGCAGGAAAATCCCCATTTAGGTGTACCGCAAAATTGGAGGAGAAACTGATATATGCAGAACTTCTGTCCAAAGGATTATTCACAAGCAAAGGTACCATCTATATCACCTATGCTTGTATCAAAGCCTTCGTCCTCAGGATTTCGCAGCTCGAATACAGTTTAGTAGAATAATGCTAAATAAAGTGAGTGAAGACACTACTTTCCTGGATAACGTTCTTTTTAGCGATGAGGCAACTTTTAACAGCATAGTTGTTGTCAACAGGCATAACATGCGCTATTATGCGACGGAAAACCCTTATTGGGAAGATGGAGACGTGGCTGTGGTTAGATGTCGCCTTGAAGATTCGCGGTCTTCTTGCCATTTTATACTTCAATGTGTAGGTTGACTCTTGTTGTAGACTTCGTGTATAATTTTTTCCCTCTCCATCTTCGTTTCTTCAGGTTACAGCCGCATCCGGATGTGTGGACATGAGTATCTACTTTTGTAGTTGCATATGTGCCTTCGTTTTGGGCCTGATGAAGCCAACCAGCAAAAAAACGTATTGCTCGGCTTACCTATCATATTTTATGCCTGAATCCACATTCCTTTTTTTGGCGGAGAATTTGTCGGTTATTTTCCTATTTTTCGTTATATATATATATATATATATATATATATATATCAAATAGAAATAAAATGGGCAAAATCCACAAAAAGAAATAAAGTAGATTCGAGAACGTTTTCAAATTACAAGTATTTATTATGTTAAATTCAAGAACTCCCTTCTGAAATATTGATTTGTGTTATTTTACTGTTGCAATTTTGTAAATGGAATTCTGTATTTCCTCTTGTGTAATAATTTTGGTGACGAGTAATGGTCTAAATGTTGTGGCAAAAGTTGATATTTTATTTTAAATATAAAAATAAGAACGAAATAATAATATGGAATTTATTATATTCAACCACTGCAATTCTTATAATATCGACTTTGGTGTAATTATTTTTACTCAATATTATTCTCATAGCTTTATTTTGTACAACTTGAAATGTTGAGAACACAGCTCCATTGGCAGCGAACAAGATAGTTGAACAATCTGGAAAATGCGGAGAATAATTGTATTATAAACTACTTTTATGGTAAATGTACAAATACTATGAGAAACCCTATGAAAGTAATTTGTTTTTTCGGCAATCTTTGAAATAGTGCATTTAGAGTGATCCTCGAGAGAGTCTCGCTCCTAATGCGTAACTCTACCACTAATATTGTCAGGGCCGGGATAATTTTTGTGGTGTTTGGAGTGTAGGGTGCTAGGGTAGAAAATAAAAAGCAAACTCTCAAAAAGCTAGTAAAGACGTTTATTTCAAGATTAGTAGTTTAAAGAATAAAAAAAATAGTAATCCAAAGTGGGATAGGAAGCTATCGTGTCAACACCACAAGTGTTTTCGTCAGCCTGAAGTATCCCTATTTTCCCCAGGAACTTCCGTAGCTGTTCTTTGTGAGCTACACACCATGGTTCAATTACTCACGTTCGTCTTCGCAACCGGAGTTCTTGGTTATTACTCCTTTAGAGTAGAATCGCATGTGCATGGCATGGCGTCCACTCCCACAGAGACTGGTCCTATTAACGCTGTAGGAAAACAAATGATCATTCATAGTAAATATACAGTGTTTTTCAAAAGTAAGCTAAAATACTCGATACTCAAGAAGTCAATTCTGTATGCCTTAAGCGTCTTAAATTTTTAGATATAGCATGGTAAAGTCTTGGATCTGAGCTAAGTATGTCACGCTACTTCAGTCCCACAACAAAGATTAACTCTATATTTCTCTTTAACTTATGGTTTGCGTGTAAAAAATAAGAAACGTTTTTCTAGATGGGCCAATATAATATTAGTCCAATCATTTCATGTTCGAAGAAGGGATTGCCTGGGGACTTTTGAGGAAGTTTTGGTACGTTATAGTGTCCTCATAGTTTTCGATGTACTATCTGAATTTTTACGTTACCTCCGCATATATGACAAGTTCACAAGGTAAATAAGAGGAATAAACTTATAATACATACTTAGATTGCTTCGTCCGATAGGTAGCTGCGGGCTGTTGCATCCCTGACATGGCAGTTTATCACAGAGGCATACCTACCGCCGTTTCAATGCTACAGGGACCTCTGCTTATAGGAGCCCCAACGTACGAAAAAGAGGCGTGAACTGTTTTTCAAAACTTCACGCAAGTATTCAGGCCGTGCGCTGAATCAAAAATTTCAAGTGCTAATCTTTATGGGCCATTTTTTTAGAACAATTTTCGCGTTTTATGGATAAGATATCTTATTTTTATGTATTTTTTCAAGAAAGTTGTAGTACATTCGTATTGTGTTCCGGTTTTCCATCAGAGAATACTGTATACAGGGTGATTCACAAGTAGTGAAAAAAAAATTAGACATCATACACAGGACCTCATTTTAATGGGGTCTTCTAAGTAACATTTTTTCCTGAAGGGCATCATTAAAGAGATGCGGGGTTTAAAAATAAAAAACGATTTTTTTAATATCTTCGAAACCGTCAACTGGAATGAACTGAAATTTAATACAATTAGCTTCAAAATAAAATAGTAGGCCTTGATACCAACTTGACGATTCTTGGGAGATAGTTTGTCAAGGTTATGTGTTATACGGTTGTTATCGTTATTACTTCCGTGTTTTCTTTTTGTAAAGGTCAAGTAAAAACCTACTTGTTTTTCATTTCTGAGTGTTTTGAAATGGAATTTAGCAGTGATAAGTAATTAGTTTGGCGTTGGATGATCCTAGTACAAGTACTAGGCGGATTGCAGCCCAGTTACCATGTTCCTAAAGTGTTCCACGGAGAATTTTAAATCGGGTAGTTTTACATCCATACCATCGGCAAAATTTTTGTGAGTAGTTACTGCCAATGCATAATCAAAATGCAGATTTCATTGATTCGGTCTTGTGGTCAGATGAATCGCTTTTTACGAGTAGTGGAATCATTAATTCTTATGATGAACAAATTTGCCGTTAGAAAAACCCCGTACTATAAGAGTTCAGTCGTTTCAACACATATTTTCTAGAAATGTCTGGTGCGGCATTATCAATGGATAACTGTATATGCACGTACTGCCACAACGTTTAAATGCAAACTCTTCTTAGCTTTTCTAGAAACTTACATAGAAAATGTGTTAGATGATGTTCCGTTAGCAACAACGAGGGTACGAATGTGATATCAGCACGACGGTGCCCCACCGCATGTTCGTGACCATGTCACAAACAGTGCCGTTTGATCTCGTCATGACTCGTCAGTAAAATGTCTTCTGATGAATACTTGTACACGATCAAACCTGTCCTCGGGAGACGTAGGAATTTGGTGCACTTTGATGACTAGTAAGGGACGACCTGGCATTCATTCTCTGTGCGATCACTGACTACCGAGATGTCCGTGGTCAATGACAAACGGATCCTTTTTCATTCAAAGTTAAATATCTGTGCACCAAACGATCGTATCAGGATTTTAAAAAGATATCGTAGTATCGCAGCTAAGTAAACGGGCTATCCGATTCATATTAACAGAAAAAAAATGTTTTAAGCCCGTGGAGTGGACAATTAGGAAGGCAAAACTTTTGCAATAATTTTTTTTCGATCAGAATGGCTGAAAACTAGAATCTTAAAGCTTCAAAATACTTTTATCAAGTCTAGATATAAAGCAACTCAAAAATCTCCGAAAAATTGTTTTTTTTTATTCCTCCCTTAATTCTTTTGAATAGTGTAGTTGGCTAATCCTTTTGCCGTAGGTGTATTATATATGTAATTCCAGGAAGATAATATGGGGTTTTATGCTAATTTTATGAAGATTGCCACATACACTCAGTCTGTTGTGACTTTAACAGGTTTTTAATGTTGTCCCGACAACGGCGGTGATTATTTGACCTTTATCCCCATTCAAAATCGGATATCTCCGAGACAATCGAGATTTTAAAAACACATTATTGAAGATGAAGAAACGGGTTCCCAACCATATGATGTATTAACAGGAAAAATGTTTTCCAAGCCCGTGGACTAAAAAGATGTCAAATAGTTTGCAAAACATATTTCTTGCGCTATCTCTTAGAATTGCGTGAGAACCGTTGCTCCTACAATTTTTCGGCTAACAAACGTGAAAACTAGAATATTGGAAATTCAGCATGCTTTTCTCAAAGTTTCGATACGACCATTTTTAACTGGAATACACCCTGCCAAAGGTCACCGAGAAATTTCGAATTTTTGCTCCCTTAATTTTTTGAGTATTGTACTACTAGGACATTGCAAGAACAATTAAAGAATTTAAAATTCTTCCTCATTGGTCAAGGTCTAAAGGTTGCGACAAAATGACATTTAGGAAAATCATAACATCAAGGGATTTATCCGAGCGTACTAAGTCGAGATCACCTCTCCAAAGATGAATAGCGAAACAGCGAAACATTATTTGGAGAATACGGATGGGATTTGGACCGCCAACTTAAAAACGCACGCTTTACGGTACGTACACTTCAGCACTGATGTTCAATTTGTAAAAATTTCATCCTAGCCAAGAATCAACCTCACATACGCGGTTTTTTCTGGAAAGGAAGTATTTTTATTATTTAATCGCTAATTACATCGCCTTGTAGTGGTAGTCTAGTACTTTCAGCTAGTCCCGTTAATACCAGCAGCTGCAGGGAATAAGTAGGGTTACCTGTTTAGAACTAATATGTTTCTTCAACCATTTAGCTTCCACAATATTTATCCTAGGTTCAGATAAATGCAATACTTTTAGTATGCTGCTAACATCTCTGTGGACCTGATGCTCTAACTAGTCTGCCCAGGTATACTTGAAGATACCACTTCTTAGAAGTCTTCTCAAGCTTGTTCCACATTGAAAGGGCACTCGGTCAGTGATCTGCCTGAAACTTTTTCAATCGACCCGCGAAGCCGAGCGGAAAAAGGTCTATAACAAAAACTAGGAGAATAATTTCCTATTTTTGTGTTACATACCGTTCTCCGCATTTTCTCTTTAATTATCTATATATATATACCTCTACAAAATCCAACCCGTACGTCCTCGAGTTCGTTCTGCGGGGCGGCCTTGGGCGCTGAACCGTGTGCGACCGTGTAGGGGGGGCAACGGGGTGCCGGTCTTGCGGTGGACCGCCTCGATCAGTTTTTTGAGGAGACCCGCAGGAAAGCCGGTAGCCCGGCCAATCGAATGATTCGATGAGCCACAGGTGTCTCGGATGTATATCTGGGACGCCTGCAGCTTAACGGTCATCATGGGCAATGGTACTTTACCCAACCCAAGGTGTTAAGCGATTCCGTGCCAAGGGGTGCGTGGCGGTGGGGATGCACCGTCTTAAACGGAGCCTCTGGGACACCGGGCGACCTCCCAGAGTATCCAGCCTTGCGTCCGTGTAGGGGCACCGCGGACGTCGATCACCACTTCCCCTATACTCGTGGGAACAATATGGAACCAAACGAAAATAATAAAAAACCCGAGGCCCCCCCTACAGGGAACCCCGAACATCCAGGCGGCCCCTCACCAGGGGACCCTGATCGTACTCTGACAGAGGAATCTGTCAGAAGCTTAGCGAGAGAGCTAGCGGACAGGGTGGGCTCCCTAAAAATTAAGAAGAAGTCTCGGCCAGTTTCCGAAAGGAAAAGGGCTCGGAAGCGGAGAGAGGCGCAGATGACGGAGGGCTCGGAAGGTCGGGGCACCACTTCTGGGACCCCGGCTGGACGGACCCAATCGCCATCTGGGCTAGACGGTGCGCAATCCGGTGTGTCAGCGGAGGCCCTAAAGCGGCCTGGTGACGGGAAGCCGCAGAGGTCTAACGGTGGGACACCGGAGGGCGCATCCTCGCGGAAGAAGCCTCGCACTGCGACGCATGCGCAAATTAGTTATGCGCGAGCGTCCCAAGCGGGTCTCAGGGTGGCTGTCGTGCCCGACGGTTATCCTGGGACTCAACTTACTGACCTACAGGTGCAGCAGGTCCAGGAGGCGGTCAGTGTGCTGATAGATGGGCTCCCAGATGAGGTGGCCCTTCCCAGGTACATTGACTGCTACTTCTCTCGAGGGGCAGCCATCTTTGTCTGCGAGGACGAATCCTCTAGGGCATGGTTGGAGGCCCACGTGGGGGATCTGCGGCCGTGGAAAGGCGCAAGGCTCATTACGATGAGCTTTGGAGACCTTCCCATGTACCACCGCGTGATGGCCTGGTCAACGAGGTCATCAAGAGGAGACTCAGGAGGCACAAACCTGGGACTTTTCCCAGCGCGTGGAGGCTACTTGAGAGGAAGGAAGAGCACAAAGGTGTCCGACTTGTCCTCTCAGTTGATTCCATAAGCTGGAAGGTCATTGCAGGTAACGGCAACAGGCTCTGTTGCGGTGGAAGTTCGGGGGTGTTTACACTCCTGAGCAAGAAGAAAAGCAGTGGGGCGACACCTGCTGGAACTGGCCTGGCTCCAAACCAGGAGTCGGACCAGCCCAGACCGACGGGAGCTGTGGCGGTAGACCAGGCTCCTTCACAGGTCGGCCGGGTCAGCTCTCGCTGGAACCACCGGCGGTTACGGACGTGGAGGCGGCGGGTCCAAGCGGGATATCCGCAGAAAACATCGCGGCGGACCCTGCGATGGATCTGGT